TATCTTTCATGAGCTATAGGTTGCAAATTCATATTGTTAAGTGATTGAGTCGCCAAAATTGACAAAATGTACTTTCCACTAAAATGTCAAATGAGAAATCCTCTTGCTCATATAGCTCATCAATTATATTCACGAGCTTTGAGTTGAACATAATTCTTGTGAAACAATGTAGTGTCAAAAAATGGCAAATATATGTAGTGCTCTCCCAAAAATGTCGAATAAAAAGAACCGTCTCGATGTACTAGAGGTAGGCATAAATGTCTCGATTGTTAGTGCCAGCTGACGCAAAGTTGGTAAATGATGAAAGTGCTAGAGCTCTTGTATGTAAATTATATCGACGTTTATTAGAAACGATTTGAAATGAAAGTTTTGCTGACAATGAATGTTAGGAGTGGGCATCTTAAGAAATATCATTCACGAACGGCGAGTTGAAGATTTGCTCTGGTAAAAAATGTAAGATTCAATAAAAGAAACTACATACATTGATTTTTTTATTCTTTAAGTTAAAGTGTCAAATGAGATATGCTGAAGAACAGTGTAAATGTGAAAAATATTTAGTAAGTTCACAAAGAATTGTGCACAAGCATCTTGATCGTTAAAGTGCTTGCTGGTTGAGTTGGAGAAAGCAAATTATCAACAGTGGTGGCAACCTTATGGCAGGTACGAACAAATATTTTCCATTGAGAGTAGCTTGAAATTGCAAAAGCAAGTATTTATTTTTCGGGAGTTTTAAAGCCATTTGCTACACTTCTCAATTTTAATGCTCTATATAAATGTATAATCATAGTCAGGAACACGACAGGCTTTTCTTTTCTAAGCAATTTTATGGATAACATTGGTCACTCAGCTCTTTAATTTTTAAGATTCCAAAATCTCTCTCAAATGCTCCTACATATCCCAGTTTGGGTCGTTCTCTTCTTATGTGTGCCTGCGGCTTACAGGATTTAAAATATGCATTCCAAAAACATGTACTGTGCTCAAGTCTGTCGATCATGCCAACCTTCATCTGTCAAAAGGTACCTCGTGATTGAATCAAGTTAGCATGTCTTATATACCAGTGAATTGATGTTTAATTTTCGTAGTGGTAGTTGCGCCACAATACTCCCCCACCAGAATTTTATCAGGGATAGAATTCGATGAACGGATACCACTAGTTGCTGAACTCTTAAAGACAGGTAGAGCTGCAATTAAGGACACCGGGTTTTTTAGTGTTGAATGTGAGAAGTGTATTAACTTCACAGTTGTAGTTGCTCCTGCGTTGCCATTAGCAGTCGAGTGTATGCAGGCAGCCGTTGTGTTTAATCGAGACGAGACTGAGTAGCAACAGCGTGAGGAGGATTGGATAATGTTGCAGTCACAAGTAGCAAGTCAACTGTTCAGTGTGGACCATCCAAGGAAGTAGGCGTTGCTGCGTGTTCAAATCACGTCCGGAGGTCACCAAAGTGGGGGCGGAGCTACCGACCATGCCTACCTTCATCTATCAAAAGGTACCTCGTGATTGAATCAAGTTAGCATGTCTTATATACCAGTGAATTGATGTTTAACTTTCGTAGTGGTAGTTACGCCACAAGTCTATTGATTTTGATAAATTTTATGATATCAGTATCCTAATTTTATTAATAAATTTCTATATTGTATTATCTTTTCCAAAAGCCACTTACTTTTACTCCTCTAAAAAAGTTCATGAGTCCTTTTGTTTTATAATATGGAAATAGGACTTGTATTAGAGCATTGATCAAAATGGGTTTAGTACGATTTTTATTTAACAAAAAATTAGCTTTTCTGCAAATTAATCGCGACTAAAGAAATTTCGTAGCCCGTTAAAAAACTTATGTAGATAAAAACTATTTTTGCAACCTAGCGGAACATATTCTAGTAGCAATTAGTGGCGTTCTATGTATAGGTAAATGAGCAATTTGCTATTTACTATTAAGTTGGTAATTGTGTTGTTTGAGTACAAATGTAAGAAAACACATGGAAACATCGAAATGTTTTGTTTAGTTTTTAAAACATGGTGATAATTCTGCAGTTATCTACATAAAATATTACATAAAGTTTTCAAAATTGCAAAAAATATCTTAAGTTCTGCTATAATTTTTTAGTTTTTTAAAATAAAATTACTATAATCTTGGCATTCTTTTTATGAAAAGTCAATTTTGTATATTTAAAGAAGATTTTATAGAAAAGCCTCTTTGTACCCGGAAGAGAAATATTTTTCGTATTTCATTAAGACTTCTAATTTTTACGCCTTAATTGATAATTAAAATTTAATAATTATTAGTTTATTCGGTTTTTATCCCTTGAGCTATGAAGTTTTAAAGTAATGCCTTATAATTTCCTCTTCGATTAAAACTTATTAAGCCTTTTGCGTAATTCATTATTTTGAAAAATTTAGCTAAAATAAGTTAAATTCGAATGGAAATGTCACTCTAAAAATGCAAAATTTCGCAATTAAATTTGCTTTCTAATAAGCGTTTCAATTAATTCAGTAGAAAAAAGAGTCTTTAACTGTTAAATAAAGTTAAAAGCACTTTAGTCAGTTCAAAAAAGGGAAATTTTTATGCTTAAGAACGACTTCCGATTAAATTGTCACCATTTTTTTCCTAAGTGAAAGAGAAAAAAAGTTTTTTTTCGCGTGTTTACGTATAGCCAAAAGATTGAAAAAGTCTAAAATGGAACTTAATTGAAAAATAGAAAGATCTTATTCTTCATGACTTTTAATATATTAAAGAAATTAGCTATCAGAATTAATGCTACTTAAACGTCTTAAAATCAAGGATCAGTTAATATGAAGGAACATATTTCATTCTTTTTCAAATAAATACAATAATTAATTCAGAAAAATCCTAACTTGAATAATCTGCTCCAATTCAATTTTTGAAGACTAGTAAATTTACAATAGAAAACTAAGACTGCGGTTCTATAATTGACAAAGTTGTTACTGTTTTTTATGACATTGATTTTTTTAAATTATACATAACCATACCAAACCAGAGACTAAACACATAGCCCCTTGCTTCAAGGGTTTAGTTTTTTAAAAATAAACATGGTATTTATATTATCTATGTTCGATTCTAAACATAGAATGAGCTTAACGCTTGGGCTGGATGAAATAATGTGTCCTTTAACTTACCCACACAGTAAAAAATTCCGAATCCAATTCTACTGAAAAAGTACCTTCTATGTAACAATGGTGAATAATCAGCTATCAAAGTCTCAACCATACAACTTCAGTCTTCCTATTTTCTTTTTTGTTTTTTTTTTTGTTTGTCAAAACGAGCTTTTTTACTTACTAAATTCCGAATCAAATTACGGAACAAAGTACCGGCACTCAGGGTACCTTTTTACCGTAAAATCCATTTTCGCGAGAACGTGTTACGAAACAAAAAAATAAAGTCTGATATATTGTAATTTTTTCAATATCAATTACATTGTCAGGGAATTTTATTTTCATTCTGAAAAGCAGGGAATAGTAAGTTGCAGTTTGTTTACATGTATATTACCATGTATACCATGTATATTTTTAAAAATACCATGAATATTTTGTTTTTGTCAAAGCGAGCCTTTTCACTTACTAAATTCCGTATCAAATTACGGAGCAAAGTACCGGCACTCAGGGTACCGTTTTACCGAAAAATCTATTTTTGCGAGAACATGTTACGAAACAAAAAAAAAAGTCTGATATATTGTAATTTTTTCAATATCAATTACATTGTCAGGGAATTTTATTTTCATTCTGAAAAGCAGGGAATAGTAAGTTGCAGTTTGTTTACATGTATATTACCATGTATACCATGTATATTTTTAAAAATACCATGAATATTTTGTTTTCGTCAAAGCGAGCCTTTTCACTTACTGAATTCCGTATCAAATTACGGAGCAAAGTACCGGCACTCAGGGTACCGTTTTACCGAAAAATCTATTTTTGCGAGAACATGTTACGAAACAAACAAAAAAAGTCTGATATATTGTAATTTTTTCAATATCAATTACATTGTCAGGGAATTTTATTTTCATTCTGAAAAGCAGGGAATAGTAAGTTGCAGTTTGTTTACATGTATATTACCATGTATACCATGTATATTTTTAAAAATACCATGTATATATATTTTTTTTTTGTCAAAGCGAGCCTTTTCACTTACTAAATTCCGTATCAAATTACGGAGCAAAGTACCGGCACTCAGGGTACCTCCTTACCGTAAAATCCATTTTTGCGAGAACATGTTACGAAACAAAAAAAGCCTGATATATTGTAATTTTTTCAATATCAATTACATTGTCAGGGAATTTTATTTTCACTCTGAAAAGCTGGGAATAATAAGTTGTAGTTTGTTTACAAAAACCTGAAAAATTCCCACTGCATATCTGGTAAATAATCAGTCTAAGAATTGTCAGTATCAGTAATGAATTATTGAGATTCGAGTTAAATGATTCCAATATGCAATACAATTACTCGTTGGAAAAATTTCTCATTTTAGTGAAACTCATTAAATGTAATTGGATTTCTTACTTAAACCTTACCTATTTCTTACTTGAAATATGTAAAATAAATAGAAAATTATACTATATGTAAAAAATATTTATAGAATTAGAAAACACAAAGAAAAGTAAAAAACACAGATCAAAGGACATTTTCACTATCTATTCGTTTCTCAGTGTGGTATCCAACGTGAATAATTATAGTTCATATATCTCATAAGCAGCAACTATAAGCTTACGGATTCACTTTAAGCTTAAATAAGTCTTATTCTGACAGAACTAAAACGAATGTATAAGAAACAGGACAGTGAACTGCTGTGCACTTCGTCCCATACTTAATTTTTTGTCTTTTTCTTTTTTGAAACATTTTAAATTTATAGGAAAGCACGAAAGTATATTTTTTCTATTTTACTTACCACGTAAAGAAATAAATGTTTGCATTCTTTTGATAAAGTAAGTTTAAAATAAACAAAAAATGATGATATAAAGATTTATGATTAAAAAGGAGATTAACAACATACCTTTTTCGCAAAAATTTCCATCGTAATCACTTGTTCCACAGTCACAGATTGCTCCACTGTCGGTGCTAATGCAGATTCCTTCATGAAGACAAGGATCATGGTGTTTGCAAGCATCCAATTCGTTCGATCGGATTCCTTTAAACTCGATGATGTCTTGCTGGCGGTGAGGTCCCTCTTCATTGGCATACATGACATTTCGAACCGAACCCTTAAAGTGGGGTTCAAAAAAGACAGATGGGTACGACATTTGAGTCAATTTGGCGCTGTACCAACTGGGAATCCCGCCAATATAGACAAAACTGTTGCTGGAGTAATTACCAAAAAGGTAATCTGTGCCTTTTGTAACTTTACTTTGGATTTCTTCATCAATGCGAATGAGAGTATCTTCAATGTTTCGAGTGATTTCTACTCTGTGCCACTGATCATCCTGAAGATTTCGTCCAGCATGGGTTAGCATGGCGCCACCTCCTAAATTGAACCGAAATCTCAACACGCCGTCGACAAGCTTCAGCATAAAGAAGTCACTAATTCCACCATCATCTAAATAAAGAAGTAAACCATTTGGCTCCGCGGTTTTGAATTCGAACGATAAGGAATCCATAATGCCAGCATACCACCGCTTGAATTGAGCATATGATGTAGGAGATCCTTCCAAAACGAAAGATTCAGCTACATAAAGTGGAAGGAATATGCTGTAAAACATGAACGGCCAGCGGAGGTTTATAATATGCATTTTTGCCTTTTAAGTTAAAGCCTATTAGTATTCGAAAATATTACTCCTAATTGCCATTTATTTTACTCTGGATTCTTATTCTATTGAATTTAAGTTACTGCGTATTTCATACACTTTTTTTCGTTTGTTTCATAAATGATTTCCTTAAGAAGATGTTTTCGAATAAAACGATTTAGTATTAAAAAATTATTAGGATAAAAATTTATTTCTGAGAGATATATTACAGAAAAATGTCTTCAAGAAGAATTTACTTCGATAGAATGGCTTATTTTAGAAAAAGTTAAAACTATTCCATTCAGAAAAGTTCTGTTTAATAAGATTATTTATCTATAAAATATTTTTTAGAAGGATTATAAGTTCAAAACAGTTATATTTTCTATATGTAAATAATACAATGTTTTGTTAAAGATACAAAATCGTCTTCGAATTAGGCGATAAAAACTTATTTCATTTCGTTTAAATGAAAGTGATTTTTAAATTGGCTATTTATTGTTTGGATCATAAATAGAATGTTTTAATTGCCTGGATTATTATGTATTTTACCCTAAATATTTCTTTAAAATCTTGATGTAGGAAGCAGCATAGTCATAAATACTTCATGGAAGTGACATCCTATTTTCAATTGAAGTAAATTATTTTCGGACTTCTTTGATGATTACTGAAACTTAAGTTTTATTGTCTAGTTAAAATCTGTAAGAAAATCTACCGTTGCACAAAGGTCCTCTTGAATTTTTTCAACACATTAAGTGGTGCTAGAACTGTGATGAAAATTTCTTTTCTTGGCGTAGTATGGTTACGGATAAATGACAATAATGTAGTAAATCCATCACGCAAGAATTTTCAGTAAAATTCTACTGTTCTTCATCACTGCGAATTTTTAATTCCTATTAATTCTCATTTTAACAGTACGCAAGTCTGTCAACCAGCATTTGATGAAATTTACTTTTTGACCATTATACATAATTAGGATCCTGCCTTACGTCAGAATGAAATTGAAAACTTAATGCTAATTAATTGCACCCATGAAAATAAAAAAAGAATCTTTACCTTGGCGCTAAATAAGCGCTGAAGTAGAATAACTAGACAATGAATTTCTAAAAAATATTAATCAAAATCTCTGTCATCTAGCCGTTTGCAAATGAAAGAACAGCGAGAGCATTTAATTGAAATTAAGTTAGAGCTCCTTTATCAAGTTTTTTTTGTTTCAGATATTAAAAGTGTAGTTTCTATAGAGCTCCATTTTTGTTTTAATAATTCTAAAACTCATTTTCAAAAACGTAGCCCTCGAGCAAGATGTATATTTATAAACACGTCAGCATTAATTAAGAACTATGTTTCTAATATGATAATGTTAACATTTCCTTCTAAAGATTTTGCTAACCTTTTGTTTGTTGACGCCAAATTAAAATTTGGCGAGGCATTTTTTTTTCAAGTTTTCTTCTTGTGGATTTATTAATAATTCTTTTGTAGTTTTGATGGCAGTTTGTTTTTCCTCAAGCAGATTTGTTTTAAACTTGCGGCTTGAAAATGATGACGTCTGCAATTAAGTTGTATTTTTATTTCTCTCTCTTAAAGAAGTTCTTCTTTCTTTTTAAGCTGATTTTCAAGTATTTTATTTCAAAATATTGTGATGACCCCTGAAAAAAAAGTGAAACTTATCAAACATTTTGAAAATAAAAAATATGTTAGGAACATAAAAAATATCATTAATAAATGCAAAATAATTATATTCATAGTTAATTCTATACACATCGCTTTCATTTATGAATTTCTAAAATTATAATAAAAATTATTTATGATCTTACATTAAATTTTTTATTATATATAGTCTGTATTAATTATATAAACTTTTTAAAATGCAGTTTTATGAACATTAAAAAAATGTACACAAATCACGTATTTATGAATATTTAATGGATACATATACATTTTAATGCACACTAAAACGTACATTTTTGCTCATTTAATTAAAAAAATTATTCTTTGTTTAATTTAAAGTTGAGTTTCATAATTTATTTAAAGTTGATTTCAGAAAAAAATGCAATCAAAAGGTGTTTTCTAAAAATATTAAAAAAGTAACTTATTATAAAACCAAAATAATTATATTCATACAAAACTTTATTCCTGCCATTTTTAACCAAGAGTAAAATCATAAAAACTAATTACATGTTAATTTAGTTGACACATAATTAGTTTTTATGATTTTAACTTAGTTCATAACTTAAATTTTGCTAAATGCATGTTAATCATAAAGAATATATCAAAAAATAGTTTTGTTGAATTATTTAAGGCCTGAAATTTTTCGTTAATAACTTCAGAAAGTTTCGTAAAGGATAAATGTTTTTAGCCATTCACAAAATTAATTTTTAACATTTATTCTTCCGAACGTTCTAGTTTTTTCATTATTCGTGTAATTGGTCACTTTAGTGGCAAGCAAAAAAAATTGTCATTCAAAAATCAATATAACGTAAATTTGTTACACTGAAATTGGAAAAAAGTAACTAGTTAAAAATTCTTGTTTCTAATGATTGTTTTATTAATGCACTGAGAAAAAAGTATAGTCAAAACACCCTGAATATGGTAAAAATTGAAAAATAAAAATAAAATGAAAAATAGAAGTCTTTTATTCAGATAAATTTACTCTTCAGTTTTGGATTTTTTTTCTAAATGTGTGGTAACAAGAAATTAAATTCTTTTCTATTAACTTTTCATTTAAAGATAAGTGGTTACATTAAATTATGAAATTTGTATTTAAGTAATTATATCAAAAGAAGCCAATTCTTGACTTAACAGGCGGACTGATTTAAAGTTAAGTCAATATTGTAATTAATTGAAGCTGTGTTTTCCACAAAAGAATATTAAAATTAAGGAAGTAAAAATTGGAATTAAAACATTCCTATTACGTATCCCTAGGGTAGTGTGATTAGTGACATTGATCTAGACTTTTGTAACATAAGCATATAGCATTCAGATCAAAAAAAATTTTTGAACTTAGCATAAATATAATATCAGGATAAATTATAATATTGCACTGAGGAAAATTGTATGGTCAAAACTACGAAAATGCGATAAAATTTACCATGTTTTTGGCTCAAGGAACACCAAAAAGCTACTTAATTTTTACCGACTTGCTTTGCTAATGATTTTAATTAAATTAGCAATTAAATAAGGTTTCAAAGTATGTGATAAAAATTGATAACGGTGATAAAAGTGGGCAATTCTGTCATGATACTTTAAGGCATGGTATGGAAACATTTTTTCGATGAAATTATCTTTCCACTTTAGTATTTTTTTTTAAATGCGTGGTAATAAGAGCTATGATTTTGAAAACCATAATTTCTGGTAAAGCGTTACAACATAAATGAAAAACATTACCAAATGAATGGTTTAAGTACCGTTTATTTACCATGATAATGTTTTTCATTTTACCAAAAATTTCATTACCATACAGTACGGTAATTTTACCAGAATCGTTTTTTTTTGTGAGGCAAACGTTTTATGAAATGTAAGCGTAGTATTTGTAGATTTATTTTTAAATTTCTATCCAATTATAATAGATGATTTTTATTTTTATTTAAAAAACCTACAGCAAATTACAATATAGGGTGACTTCTTAATAAGTTTTAAGCTAAAAATTGTCAATATGTTTTAGTCCAATCTGAACAGGATCTATTGAAGTATATCTTCAATCAAGAACTGAGACTCAGCAGATTTCTATGACAATATTATCATTTTTTTCATATATACTTAATATAGTAACCAGTAATGGCTCTAACTTTTAACTAGAACAAACTTGTTAATAACTAGATAAATAACTTGTTAATAACTTGTTAATAACTAGATAATAAACTAGAATAAAATGTTCGTAATATTTTAAAAAACAGTGAATTTTTATATAAAAATTAAATCTTCCAGTTTAAAGAGCTTAGAACTTAAAGAATTTCATCGTTAAATTTAAAAGCTTTCCTTTTCGATTTTTGGAAACAGATTAAAAGAAGATAATTTAACCTAACATGTTAACAGAAACGGTTTCAATTTAGTTATTTTCAAAAATTTTGGAGAATAATGATTTAACAAGTTTTACTTTTATTAAATACGTTTCAAATATAGAAACTCATAATTATTTAATATCTTAAAATTTTTATACATTTGGTTCAATTTTACATTCATTAATTTCTTGTTATATACCTAGTAACTACTATATGGTAATTGGAAATGAATGGAACGGAATGGTAATTGGAAAATGTATTTTGCATTTTGCATTTTTAAATTAAATTTATAATACTTAAAAGAAGAAGTAGATTGTGAACAGACATGAAGGTAATAAAAATTAAAGTCGAAAATTAATTGACTTTCTTTGAATTTCTAAATTTAATTCAGACTTATTTCAGGATTTTTAAACTGTGAATGTATTTTCCGCATAAAATAGCCAATGAAATAACAATGAAATTACTTGTTATGTATGAAAAGACAGGAGTGTCTTGACAATTTTTTTACGTCTGATTTTAAAATCCAAAATTGAAAAAAAAAACGCCTTTCACTTTTATTTACTAATAGCTATTATGTAATATCATATATTCTTATGTAATATCAAATATTCTTTTGAAACAAAACGTCCTTATATACTTTAATTTTAAAGATTAAAACGTTGATTGGAATACGCTTTGAAATGGAAATCAATTCAACTTATTTCTTACGACTATTCAATTGTTTTTTTTAATGTATTTTTGGTTAACATGAAATATAAAAAAAATTGTAATGTTTATAATGTAAAACCCACTATTTTATTCATAAATTTTAAATCGATTGATTTTAAACTAGACAATAATAATTTCGTAGCGAATACAATATTACTTTATTATTTATGATTTTTAAGAAACATTAAATGCAGATGCAACACAGATGCAATAATAATACAGATTTTAACAGCGTGAGGATAAGAATTTTTCGAGACAGTTAATCTAAGGTTTTGACACAATAAATCTCACTTCGGAATTAGGAATGTTCATAACCCGAAGATGCTTTTGAGTCTTGAGCTGAAATTTCTCTGCGAAGAGAATTTCAGACATGACCCAGGAAATTCAGGTTTTACGATTTCGCTTACCACTCCATCCTCTGCACATTATGACTTCTAGTTATTTCTGTAAAACAAGCAGATGTAAGTTGCTATCTATACAAAGAAAAAAAACAGAAAAAGGGCAGAAAAAATTTTAAAAAAAGGTTTTTTAATTTTTTCTGCTCATATCAGTATCTTTTTCTGCAAAGCTCTTCAATTATTTTTCAACAATTTATAAAGAAAAATTCCTAGACTGCGATAAATAGGATGGTAAAAACTGCCCGAATTACCACTTTTTGCCATTTTTCGAATTTCCATTTACCACTTTTTAGGCTCTATCAAAAGGCTCGATAATT